ACTGACGTTTCGGACGCTAGTCCTTCGTCGGAGTCCTTCCTTTTGTTCACTCATCTATCCTTCCTTGCTGTCTATATTCTTCCCTTCCCTCTCCTCCCCTCTATCATTTATTTTGTTATTTTTTCATCCCCACAGGAAACATTCTAGCTGTTCCCCAAAGTACTAACAATGACTGCAAGGAAGACTACAACTTCCAATTTATTGATTTTGAATACAGTGCATACAATTACAGAGCATATGATATCGCTAACCACTTCTGTGAATGGATCTTCRACTACACAGTCAAAGAACCACCTCACTTTGGGGTAAAAGTGAATGACTTTCCAACAAAAGATGAACAGGTGATTGCAAAAGAAATTAAATATTTTTCCACTTCTAAAATAACTAGACTGTTAATGAGTCCCTTGGTCACTGTTCTATATTGTTGGTTAGTATTTATCATGACGGGAGGGAGGTGCCAGTGGTTGAAGGACAATGGAGTACTTTGACAATGTGGTAGCCATCTTGAATTGTTAGGCATTATACAGGTCGTCCCGAAGCTTTTCTTACTGCTGTTAAGATAGCTAACTAAAGAAATCTGCCTAAATTTTCTCTTTAAAGTCAGTGAATTTGTRTGGGAATCCGAGACAGTGTCCAAACTTTTTGGTGACCGTAACACAATCCAAGCCAGCGCCAAAAAGGTGAATTGACAGCATTATTTTATCAAAAGTTTGTATGTTTGCCCCCTCATGACTCTTAATGCCTTGTGATTCAAGATGCCCACCACATCGTCGAAATAGTCTATTGGTTGATTGCAATTGGAGCATTTCAATAATTGTTCTCAGCCTTTTTTGATTTCCAGAATTCAAGGTATCATTTGCACCAAAGGAAAAGTATAACAAACCCATGTTTGCTTTGATTTTCAGTTAACATTTATAAGAGCATACCTTGGGAAAGATACAAACCACCATTTTGATAACATTACTTCAGAAGAACAGGAAATACTAGATGAAGTTAAAATGTGAGGCTCTTTCCTCTCCATTCATCTTTTCTCTTCTTCCCTTCTCTTCCATCCCTTTCCTTCCCTTCCTTTCCTTTTCCTTTTATCTCTTTACTTTCTTTTTTCTTCCCTTTTCTTCCCTTAAACTTCCCTTTTCTTTCCTTCACTTCCTTTTTCTTCCCTTTTTTTTCTTTTCTTCTCTTTCGTTCGCTTCCCTTTTCTTCCCCAGTCTCCTCTCCTCTCATCTCCTTTCCTCTCAATGCTTTAGCAATACCTGTAAATCGTAGGTCATGCCAATAAAGCTATTTCAAACCTCAAACCTCTCCTCTCCTCTCCTCTCCTCTCCTCTCCTCTCCTCTCCCATCCCAGCTCGTCTTGTCTTGTCTTTTTTCTTTCATCCTTTTACTTCACTGAACCTCACTTCTCCTCTCTTATTTTTGTCTGTTCTTCATTAGATTTACTATGGTTTCGCATTTCTTATGGGCTGTATGGGCAATTGTACAATCCAAACTTTCCGCTATAGATTTTGGATTTTCGGTACGTATCAAAGTAATTGTTCATGGAATACTAATAACCTATTAGTCTTATTCACGTGTGTATGAGAATATATAAGAAATATATATTTGTACTGCGGTAGTAAATATATCAAATTGAGCTGATTCTCGCAGTATATCAAGCAACTTATGCAGCTGCCAATTGAAAGACTCGGAAAAAATTCTGATTCTGGAACGGGATTTGAACCCGTCCGTGCCCTGGTGATTCCGGTGCCATGCTGTAACCAATCTAGTCTTACATAGAAACATAGACTGTTTACTTAGGCCCCGTCCACACGTATCCGGAAATTTTTGTATCCGCAAAATTTTTTGTGCGGATACAAAAGTTTCTGGATACGTGTGGACGGGGCCTTACTCTAAACCAACCTATGATTTAATATTCCAGTTATCAAGAGATTATGATTCTCTATTTGTTTTAACGCCCAGATTAAATAAGAACTAGTGTAAAGAGTCTATAGATTTTTACATATTTAATATTTTTTCAATTCATTTTTTCCCTAGAAATATGCCAAGGTACGATTTGAAATCTACGTTCAACAGAAGAAAATCCATGGGCTAAGTTAGCTAACTCGATATTTTGGAATAAATTGATTTAGGGGCGCATAATAAATAATAAGAAAAAGCATTAGCTTTGGCTCTCATTAAAGGGGTCTTACCTATTTACCAGCAACGGTTACTATGGAAAGGATTCAAATATTTAAGAGGTTTTTCTTATGTTTTACGCTCATACATAAAACCAATTTGTTAAATGAATGACGTCATCACTCCTTCATTTTTTGTTATAACAAGCGTGCATTTGGCTGGTTTGACCCAAAAATAACCTAAATTATAGCTGAGATGAATTGGAACAAAGTTAAGCATTATTTTTGAAAAGGCCAGTCATAAAGCACGCGGGACACTCTCCCAACACTTCTCTCGTGTTCTGCCACTCCCCGCGTGCTTTGTAACTGCACACATTACGCGTGCACATTTTCTGTTTCTTCAAGTTTTAATATTTTCTCAACCGCTTAACGCAAAGTAAAACCCATGCTTAATTAACTTCGTTCCATTTTATCTAAGCTATAATTTTTCATTTTATAAAATTATAAAATTTCATTTTAGTATCATTTTGCTATTCAAAGCCACTTAATTTATTGAAGTTTGCCTTTTTAAATATATATAAGAAAGTCCGATAATATTATTATCTACACAAAAATCCACTTCTAAATTCCAATTCGATCTGAGCAATCACTCCCTGGTCTTCGACGAAAAAGTAAATTCATATTTTTCAAATTTCAAATATTATCAATAGAAAACAAAAGATTTTGTAATTTATTCAGTTTAATTAAGAACAGTCTTTCAAAACTTTAAATTGTTACTATTATCGATGTGACAAATTTGAAAGGAAACTCCCTTTTCTGATAATAAAAATATCTTATAATATATCACGCTAGCACAATAGGGGTCAGAAATTGTATACAGGTGACTCTCCCGTAAGCGACCACCTCGGGGCCAGGAGAAAGTGGTCGCTTACGGGAGATGGTCGCTTACTAGAGAGTTAACATAGGAAGCCCAAACAATGGGAATCCCAACACAGGAAGCCTAAACCATTTATAATTTTGTAACTCACGTGTAAAAACTACTGTATTAACGATTAAACTGTTTTAATCAAAATTTTGAATGTGCTATTTGTTTACAGTAGTGTAATTGTCAATATTTCGTCGGGTATCTAATACCCGATGACTCTATGTTCTTAAATTTTTATTGTCAAAGGATCTGTCACCATTACTGGCTCTTGGGTGGTCGCTTACTGAAGAAGAAAAACAATGAAAATTCCAAAATTTTAACCCCAAAGGTGGTCGCGGTCGCTTACGAGAGTGGTCGCTTGCGAGAGTGGTCGCTTACGAGAGTGGTCGCTTACGAGAGATTTTTTTTACAGAGTTTACATGCGGGGGGGAACAAAACGGAAAATTCAAATTGATGGTCGCTTATAGGAGATGGTCGCTTACAAAAGTGGACGTTCAAAGAGAGTCCACTGTATTAATTAATTAATTTGTATATTGATTAATTAGGTGATTTTTTTGGATATATTATTGTATTGTTAGCTTTTGTAGGGTTAACTTTATATACACTTATTTCAATAAAGTTAGTCACCTGACAAGCTACAAACCTGAGACCGACAAGGATTATGGGTAGATACATTTTACATGTTTCAACCGCTTGATAACTCTAACTATGCATTAACTTGAGATTTTCTACGAGTWACAAGTTAGCCTCCTCTGAGCATCATCAACTGCTGCAGTTTGTGTCAAAAGCTTTGCTTGTTGGATATGAAATATTTCCCATGATCCTCAGCGATCACAGCTTTTTAGGTTTTTGGTAACTTTATTGAAATAAGTATGCTTGCTTGCTTGCTTGCTTGCTTGCTTGCTTGCTTGCTTGCTTGCTTGCTTGCTTGCTTGCTTGCTTGCTTGCT